GTTAATATTCTTTGAAAACTATTACATTATCAGCAAAGATATTGATACTTTTTAATTACATCCAAGTTTCCTTACTAAATCACAAATGTTTAAGTGGATCCTTTTAATGATTGATGATAAGAATTCAGAAAAGGATATTCTTTTACAATCCAAAATTTTTATAAGCAGATGAATCTTAGCTGCATAATTATAGAAATAAATTAAAGAATAATCAAGCAATAATCATTTTTCAATTTTATCAGGATTACACTGATCCATTAATGAGTCTATATAAGCATCTTTAGATATTTTCGTACCTACAACCATCCAGAATAGATACACTTTGGAAGCTGAATGGGAAACCTATATAACTACTAAACTCTTTATTATCTATCTAGATTTCAATTCTTAAATGTTACAACTTCTATCAAGTTACCATAATATAAGAATACATCATCAAACTTAAGAAACCCCAATCATGGTCTCAAAATTTCGATATCATCTTCACACAAGCAAACAATTTTAGAGAAGAACCTAATTAAAACTTAATGCTATTCCGTTCAAATAAAAATTACAAAAAAAAAATAAACTGCTTTAATCTGCCTGAAGTAATATTTACTCTAATTAAAAAATGTACTTTATAGCCCTACAAAACTTAAGTCTTGCATCATATGACAAAACATTGCTTAGAAATATTATTGAAATGTTATAAAATTTGTTTAACTTTCATAAATCTAGGATGGGATAAAATTTTTATCTTTTAGCTTTACAAAAAATAATGATTTGCTATTTAAAAAGTTTAGAAACCATCTTTTAATACCTTGGATCAAATTGTGAAAAAATAAAATCTTTAAACTATTTAACACTAATAATTCTATAACTTATAAAATTGAGTTAGAACCTTATGATAAGGAAAGTTAAATATTGAAAAAGTACCGCTATTATTGTACCCAAATGAATTTTAAAAGATTACCACCATCCATAGGATAGTAAATTTGGAATTCCTAAAGAACTCAGGAACAAAAAAAGTTTCAATCTAAACAAAATATTTTTTCGACTACAAGGATGCAATGTCAACTATAAGTTCATAATAATGGAATATCGTATTCTTTTTGGAGTTTTAAATCAAATTATTTTTTAATTCTTTCTTCTTGTGGCATTTTAGCTGTGATGAGAGGATTATTATTAAATTTGCCAAATTATAATGAACAAGGTTAACTAAACAAAGAATAAAAAGGAATTGATTATTCTTTGTGTTAATAATCCATTTTTAAAAATAATTATGCTGAAATATTATTTTTTAAAATATACTCTCCTATAATTAAATCAAGAAAAATGAACACAAAAGCATTATATAATCTTTGGGTTCGCATTAGTGATGAATAATCTGTAGCATAGGAAAACTTAGGAAGACAGTATATATCACTGCATTTCTATTCTATCAATTTTTTCAAACTTTTCTATTTAAATAGACAAACTTGAATAATTAGATTAAATTACGAATTATTTAAAAACCAAAATAGAATTAGTACAAATGAGCAAAAGTTTCTCAATTTCACTTTTCTTCTTTAATCTTTTTGTGACTTTCAAAGAATTATAAATTAATTCATCATCTTTTTAGATTACAATTTTATTCATATGCATAGTTGGCTACTGAATGTAAGGGAAAATTGAAGATTATTAATTATAATGTATATAAATAATTTTTTTTTGCTCAGTATTCATATCGGAGTTACCAAACAGCAAATTCTTTAATAAATATAATTTAGGTGTATATTATAAATTCCATAAATCATTGTTTTTTGTTAACTACTTAAAACAGAGTTTTCATTTCTAACATTAAATTTAGCATCAGAAATGCTATTATCAAACCACATTATTCATAAATTATTGATTTAATGGAGGAATAAAAATTCTTTTTATTAATTAATAAAATAATAGAAATGGGAATTACTTGTTCGAATAAATAGCGTGTGATAAAGGAAATAGATAAGATAGATAGGTGTATCATGTTATTTAAATATAAGCAATATTGAGCCACTAAAATGCTAAAACATCCAATAAGATACAAATTAAGAAGAATATGAGTGTAAATTTTGGAACAGGAAAAAAAATTAATGGCAACGAAAAATTATATAAATCGAATTTACAAAAGTTGATGATGTTATTGAAGTTAAGTATCTTTTAGATGGATAAATTATAAGAAGGTAAATGTTTTTCTACAACAAAAACATAGAGAAGAATAAAAAGATATTAGTGTGAAGCCTCAAGTCTTAATTAATTTGGAACAAATCTATTATCTTGAATGGCTTGGAAAATATTAAGAGAATTTTAAGAAGATGGGAAAATGGACAGCTATTTGGAAGGGAGAAAAAATTACAGAAGTGGGTGGGTATTACTCTAATGAGGGAAAAAAGAATGGTATTTGGAATGACATCATAAAAAATTATGGAGAGTAAAATAATTTATATTTTGAATTAATAGACTGAGTCCTGTTTTTGAAATCGGAGAATACAAAGATAATTAAAAAATAGGATAATGGATATATGTTTTTGAGGGGATGAATATGTAAATTTTTCTTAAATTTTACAGCGGTGGTGGAAATTACAGCTAGTAAAGTAAAAAGGAAGGAAAATGGATTGATTTGAGTGATTATTTTTGCAAGTATTTTTGGATTAATTATTAGTTAGTGTAAGGTAACATATAATGGAGAATATAAAAATGGTAAAAAAGTTGGTAGATGGGATATTTATTACGACAACAACGATGGTGAACTTTATTAATTGATGTATTATTACATTAATAAATAAAAAACAANATCAATTTTTTCAAACTTTTCTATTTAAATAGACAAACTTGAATAATTAGATTAAATTACGAATTATTTAAATACCCAACTTAGAATTAGTACAAATGAGCAAAAGTTTCTCAATTTCAATTTTCTTCTTTAATCTTTTTATGACTTTCAAAGAATTATAAATTAATTCATCATCTTTTTAAATTACAATTTTATTCATATGCATAGTTGGCTACTGAATGTAAGGGAAAATTGAAGATTATTAATTGTAATGTATATAAATAATTTTTTTTTGCTTAGCATTCATATCGGAGTTACCAAACAGCAAATTCTTTAATAAATATAATTTAGGTGTATATTATAAATTCCATAAATCATTGTTTTTTGTTAACTACTTAAAACAGAGTTTTCATTTCTAACATTAAATTTAGCATCAGAAATGCTATTATCAAACCACATTATTCATAAATTATTGATTTAATGGAGGAATAAAAATTCTTTTTATTAATTAATAAAATAATAGAAATGGGAATTACTTGTTCGAATAAATAGCGTGTGATAAAGGAAATAGATAAGATAGATAGGTGTATCATGTTATTTAAATATAAGCAATATTGAGCCACTAAAATGCTAAAACATCCAATAAGATACAAATTAAGAAGAATATGAGTGTAAATTTTGGAACAGGAAAAAAAATTAATGGCAACGAAAAATTATATAAATCGAATTTACAAAAGTTGATGATGTTATTGAAGTTAAGTATCTTTTAGATGGATAAATTATAAGAAGGTAAATATTTTTCTACAAAAAATACATAGAGAAGAATAAAAAGATATTAGTGTGAAGCCTCAAGTCTTAATTAATTTAGAACAAATCTATTATCTTGAATGGCTTGGAAAATATTAAGAGAATTTTAAGAAGATGGGAAAATGGACAGCTATTTGGAAGGGAGAAAAAATTACAGAAGTGGGTGGGTATTACTCTAATGAGGGAAAAAAGAATGGTATTTGGAATGACATCATAAAAAATTATGGAGAGTAAAATAATTTATATTTTGAATTAATAGACTGAGTCCTGTTTTTGAAATCGGAGAATACAAAGATAATTAAAAAATAGGATAATGGATATATGTTTTTGAGGGGATGAATATGTAAATTTTTCTTAAATTTTACAGCGGTGGTGGAAATTACAGCTAGTAAAGTAAAAAGGAAGGAAAATGGATTGATTTGAGTGATTATTTTTGCAAGTATTTTTGGATTAATTATTAGTTAGTGTAAGGTAACATATAATGGAGAATATAAAAATGGTAAAAAAGTTGGTAGATGGGATATTTATTACGACAGCAACGATGGAGAACTTTATTAATTGATGTATTTTTACATTAATAAATAAAAAACAATTCAATTGGTGGAGGATTTTATGAAGATTAAATAGAAGGAGATTCAATTAAAGTTGGGAAATGGATTGACATTAGTGATGAGTTTTAGGATAATTAGTAAATTACTTTGAGTGGCGAATACAAAGAAGGTAAAAAATTTGGCAAATGGGAAATTTGGTCGAGAAGTAGAAATTTAAACGAGAAATATTAACTTGATGATGACGGTTAGTAATCTTAATTATAGTAATTTTTTAGATTTTAAAGAAATTACAATAAAGAATGGGAAGACTAATAAATGTAAATATAACTCAAAATTCTTAGCGGTGGAGGATCATATGATTCAGAAGGGTATGGGATTAAGATTGGCAGATGGACTTAATTGAGTGATGGATTTTCTTAAGAATATTAAGTAATATATAGTGGTGAATATCACAACGGCAAAAAGTTTGGGAGATGGGATATTTTGGCTAAAAAATTTGAAACAATTTAGACCAAGCCATTTATATAAATGTAAATTATCCTATTAAATTAAAAAAATCATTTTTAGTGGCGGTGGATCATATGTTGAAGGAGACGAAGAGATTAAAATTGGGGAATGGATTGAACTTGTTGATGATACTGATAAACACCTGGATTTATTTTGGAAAGGTGAATATAAGAATGATAAAAAAGTTGGTCGATGGGCTTTTGGATGGATATATAATGATGAATTTATTGAGCTGTAAATTATCTAATATATAACAAACTTAGTGAGGGTGGATCATATCATGAAGGAGGTGAAGGCATTAAGGTTGGGCGATGGAAGGAGAGATATAGATGGCCTGAAATACTGAGTGCTTAAAGTTAGGATGGTGAATATAAAAATGGTAAAAAGGTTGGTAGATGGAATATTGTGTATCCCTCAAAATAAATGAGTGTATCTTCTCAGATGTAAATTATTTTATTAAACATAATAAATAACATTCATAGTGGGGGCGGATTGCATCATGAAGAAGGTAATGGAATTAAGATTTGGAAGTGGATTGACTAAACTGAAGATATATTTTTGTAATCGCCATCAATCCTTTATGAAGGTGAATATTCAAATGGCAGAAAAATTGGGGAATGGGGCATTTTCTATTTGGATGATGCTAACAAAATGCAAAGGATGTATAAATTAAAAATAAGAATTTTAGTGGTGGTGGATCATATGATTAACAAGGTAAGGGTTTTAAGATTGGAAGTTGGATAGAGATTAATGATAAATGGAATTAAAGGAAATAAATCACTCAGATAGGTGAATATAAAAACGGGAGAAAAGTTGGTCAATGGATAGAGATGAATTTAAAGAAAAATTAAAGCCATAATATAGCAAATTATGATAATTGAAAAATATTTACAAATAGAACAAAACATCAATAAGAATTGTATTTGTTGTTAATTTAGCATTTTAATTGCAATCTTGAAATTGTCTATAATATTTTTAAGAATTTTATTTTAATACTTGAGTACAATTAATTCATTTATGTTATTTGTTGCTTTTTTTTTTATTGATCGTTGTAACTAAACTGGGTAAGCCTGATAGGAATTCTCAAGTATTGCAAATGCTTTTAAAAAAATTTGTTTTGAGACCAGATTTCAATTTTTATAGGATATATTTTTTATTATTATGATATTTTTTGAACAGTAAATTTTAAACATTATTTTATAGAATTAGGATTTTTCTAAGATATAACCACAAAATAGTATGGCATAAGAAAGAGATTAAAGACCAAATTTTTTGAAAATTGTAATTGAATTATTTTTGTATATAAGATGATCTCTATCTTAATGAAAAACAAGCGGAGTTATGATTCAGTGAACAATTTCTCTAAAAATATCTAATCAATCACTATAGCAAGAAATGGTAATTAAATGTTTGAAAATTAAATATAACCTAAATGATTGTTAATGAAATTTATTTTCTAAACCTTATTTTCGTATAATATTTAAAATACTAATTTGATATGAATATTATTTATACTATGGGCTCAGAAATAAGCATTAACTAAGTTCAACAAAAGAAATATAAAGTTGTTTTTAAAAATTCAGATTGCAAATAAGACAAGAGATAGAATGTCTTTAGAGTCTATCGTTCCTAATCAGAGTTGCTCGCCTAACCTTTACATTTCCAAATATCTTGAATGTTTTATTTCAGAAATATTTAAGGTTTTGAATCAACTATTTTGAAACCCTTTTCAATAATTGAAGTACAGATACTAAAAAAGATCATCCTTACCCATTTTCAGCACTTAATTTTGCTCTAAGAGATATAAAAAATCTTTAAATAGATAAATATTCATCATCTAAATATATTATAGCTCAAGATGTGCTACTAATATTCTTCTCTTTTACGAATTTCATAATCTTCTCTATTTCAATTTTTTTCCCCTTTTAAATTTGGGTATGAACTTCAAAAGAAGTTTTCCTCCCGATCATCCATTTTACAGAAATTTTAAAGTCAATTCTTATTAAATATTCTTTATCATATTATTTTACTTTTTGTATTACCCAAGATATTCTGCCTTTACATGTTAATTTATAAAGAATACTCATTATTATGTGTTGCAATAATAATATAATGAGTTCTGAGACGAATTTAGATTTATAAATTAGTAGTCAAACTACATATTTTTTCTAGACTAGTTTATTTTTAAAAAATGTCTTTACATAATTTTGACAATTAGAAGCTTTTTCCATCAACTTTAGAAGAAAGATCAGTTTTGTTGTAATTTTGGAGTATTTTAGAAATTTGTAGGTTGAAATGCAACTCACTAAAATAAAATTGATTGTTTAAACGTATTGATAATGTATTCAATTTAGGATTTTTCCTTATAACAGGGTTCAACGTATTCTTTAGTAGGCTAAAAAATTAGAATTAATTAGGACGATTTAATGGCTTGTATAGGTAAAGGTCATAATGTGCTAAGGCTTAGTAATTTCAATGTTGATGTTGAAAATTAAGTTGATGAGAAATATGAACTTACGAAAATCCATTTTCTATTCTCATTAAATTTTCCGTTTTCATCATCCTCGCTTATCCCCTTAATTTCTCCCTTTCAAGGAAATAATATTTTCTATTTGGCTTTCATCATGTACTAGCAGATTTTCATAAATTCATCTCTAGTATTTATGTATATCTCTTATATTTAAATTCTTTTATATAACACATTGGCTACTCAATAAGTGACTGTTGAAAGTGGAGGTATTGAGGCTCTGATGCTGTTATATCCTTTTTCAACCTACTCTATGGGACTTATATGAATATATCCTTTCTTCAGTATCTGATGATGCAAGAGTGCTTATGAAATTGCGGACAAGGTTTATTAGGAAGCTATTGTTTCTTTTATGGTTTGTAAATATCTGCCATAATTTACTTTTGATGAACATATTGAATTAAGATCATAATTAATGATTATGTAACCTTTGCCAACATTTCGTAGCTTTTAAATTCCTTGATTTCATCAATATAAATCACTGTAACACTCGATTTAAATAATTAGACTTTGTTTTATCAAATTTCAATCTATTATGTACATTATTCGAACTAATGAAGTTAAACCAAGTTGTTATTTATTTCAACTTCACTTTGAATATCTAAATATTGGTGTGCTATTATATAAGGATTATCAGATATCTTCTACTACATATTTAGAAACCAATTAAGTATATCAGGAAGCAAACTAAATATATCATGCTTATTCTTTATAATCACTGTGCTTCATTTTTAGATATTGAAGATATCCAGCTAATTCCTAAAGAGGGATACTATTTTCTAATATACTTGTTAAGCATAGTAGAAGATAAAACCACCTAATTTTGCTTTTCCTACATTATTACTCAAAAAAAGGTTTAATTCTTTTCAACTAAATATCACTTTTAATTTCAGATTTTATTTTTATCATATATTCTCAAAGTTAATTAAATTGTGTTATACAACTTTTCCCTTAAGTCATTGCAATAATGATAAATCAATACTACCTAAGAAAGCGGTTTTATGTTAATTAAAAATAAGGAATTTGCTATTGTTATTCTAAGTCTTTAATAGATAAACAAAGTTGAAATTCAACATGCAACCAATCAAATTTGATAATTAAATGTAATTGAGACTATGCTTTTTTAATTCAAATTAATTTTCGTTTGCTTCAATTAATATTTTAATTATACTTATAGAAATAGTAAAATTTTTCTACTTACATTGATTTAATTATTTTCAAAAGACTTTAAATTCATTTATTATCATGATCTCAAACTTGGAGGAAATTATTTACCTGCAATATGATCAGATGAAATAACATAAGATTCAATCCCAACAGATTATTTATATTCTTTATCAAGAAATTAGTGCTTTAACATACATGCTAAATAGGTGATGTTTGAATAAGCATCCAGACCAATATCAAAAGGAGAGTTTATTTTGACTATTTTGGAATTTAAGAGGTATGTTTAGAAATTTCGCAAATATAATTTCAAAGTAATAGGTACGGATAACAATATTACAAACAAAAATACAAAGAAGGTGTATTTAGTTATATTGCATCTTGGCACGCTTGCAATTATGCATCATTAATCAGATATACCACAATCATACTAAAAATATTGGGTGCAATTACAATACAACAATTTTAAATTTTATTGCCTGTGAATTACAAATTCTGTAATCCATTACTATTAAAAGAGAACGATCACGCTATGTAAATGTTTTTATTTTTTGCATGAGGTAAATTTTTTAATTAATCTTTTTACTTAAATGAGTGTTTTGCTTAAACTTACTTGTCAAATGTCAATATTACTTTTACACTTTACTCTGTTTTAGTAGAAATTTACGTAGATTTTATACTTCCACCTGAGCTAAGCATTTCAATGGCAATATTATTATAAACTTTACAAGGAATGTGCATTCTGCCCTGAACTATAAAATTGTTCCAAACTACGTTTTTGAAGCTTAACCGAAATCCTCTACATTCATGCAGCCAATGTTGTTATGAGATTTAGTATATTCCTAAACACATCAAGCAAATCTATGTTTATTTTTAGGAATCTCATAAATAAGGACAAGTCCTACAATTAGCAATAAAGAAATGGTAGCTTTATTTCAATCTGCATTAAAAGAAACGCATGCTAACTCTCATTAAGATACTATCTGAATGCAATAATAACCATAATGTCAGACTGAGTTATGTAAATAAATATTAGAAATAGGAAGACAGTATCATAAGAGGTATAACTCATGTATTATAATATACAAATGAACAGGCCCATCAAATCTACACTTAGCGGGTATTGTTTTAATGGTTGAGTAACGAATAATCCATTGTAAAATAATGTTTTTTTAGTTCATCTGCAAAATATATATACTTCTTTTTAATAAATTTGGAGTTGTGTAAAATTTACAATTATAAGTTCAGTGAATAGCCTCAAAAAAGACATACTGTCTCTAATCTACATCAAATTAGACATGTGCTACACAGATTTTATATAGTTTAAATCGATATTCAAACGTAGAGTCTCAGAAATAGATCGGAAAAGTAATATCAGTTTTTGAATAGCTAGTAAAGTTATCAACGGGCCAAAGGCTAACATCTCAACGAAGTTTAAATAGAGTTACATTTGTAACGTTAATTCTGGCTAGTTTACTTTTGATCTTAATATCGGGATGGCAGATAACAATTATTAGAACTATATAAGGCGAACATGAAACATATAAAAAGAAAAATTATGACAAATTCTAACTAATTTCCTTACAATTTTTTCAAGCAATAAAGTTTTGAGAACATTACAGCCTTCTCAAAGTTACCCTTTAATAGATCAATATTCAAGTTAGAAATAGCAAACAAATAAAAATAGCAGATTTTGTACATTTGGTTCAAGGGTGATGACATTATGAACAAATCTACTAACATAGTTAAAATTATTAGCTAAGCATGAATCACATGAAGAGCATTTGAGATTTCTTATGATATATGTACATTTCATATGACGCTTAAAAAGTGGTATATGTTTCGAAAGAAAGTAAATAGTAAAAGCATCAACAAGGTTTAAGCAAGATTTCCACATGATTCTTAGGAACAACATGATTAAATGTAGCCTGGATGAAAAGAAATTAAAAACACTAATATCATACATCTTAATAAAATCTAAAGAAATAGAAATATAGTTTTCCATCAGAATTAGCATGCCATTGATTTCAGGCATGGTGTGTATCGTTTTGTTACTCGATATCATTAATTGTAAGATTGTATTTAGTGACACAAGATATACCAATAAAAACTTTAGGATCATTTCACTATCTTTCAAAGTCATTTTCATGCTTGTGGATTTTATGGCTGGTAGTATTATATAAATTGTATATAACAATAAATTTGTTTAAAGTGTTCACAATCATGAGAAAGATGATAACATTCAAAAATATTCAGCCAGGTATTAGAAAAGTATCCTAAGAAGGGGGACTTAAGAAGAATATTTCAGCAACTAACTTTGGGATTCTTCATTTGTACAATTAGAGAGAGGAAAAGATTTAAGGCAAACTTACAGTGGATGTATGAGACGGAGAATTATAAAATGGAACTATTTAAGAGAACTTAAATGAAATATAGATTGCCCTTGTCTGGGAGAATTTTTAGAAGGATGAATTGCCGAAGAATAATTGTGCAGGGTCATCTGATGATTTTTCAATGGACCTTTGGAGATGCACTGAATAATATAGTCCAATCGAGATTGAGTAAGATTAAGTAAAATGTTGTAACATATTTTAGGACTTAACCTGAATATGCTATATTCTTTGATATGTCAAATGAAAATTGACTTTTTTAAACAAATTCTTGTGTGAAGAAAATATATTAGAATAAAAAGTTATCGTTTTGATTCAATATTGGGATTTCAGTTGGATAAAGGACGATAGAATTCAGAAAAGAATACATTAAAGCTCTAAAGTTAGCTCTAAACTTCGTCTGTTATTATTTGTTGTATGGTTTTAATAATTCAGGGTCAAGGTAAGATTGAGAAGCTCCGATATTTAGTCATGGGATTCTTAATATGTTTAGACATTTTGAATTATTAGAAACAATAATCAATACTCTATTTTGATATTCAGATATATAAAAGCAATTGATATCTTTTGAAATTATTATGCAATCATGAAATTCAATAATATAAAAATTATAAAAATGTGATGAGAAGTTCTATAATTAGGAAGGAATAATATTACTTTTGATCAGTCAAGTACTGTTAAGAATTCTTTTTAATTATCCACTCTATACTCTTTAAAATATCATAATTGATTTCCCCTGGTATATTTTTAGAATGAAGTTATTTAATTTAATTATTCTTATATTTTTATATAAGTGTAAATATTTGAAAATATTAGAAGTTCTAATATACATCAAATGCAGATTTATACCTTCTTAGTTTTACCAATAATTTTTATGGATCTAAATTATGTTACATTGGGAGAATATTAAATTATTAAAATTATCTGATATTAGAGCTGAAATATGAATAGTAAAGAAAACAGGTCTTTTGAAAAAGCTATTCATGACTTAAATTGGCTTATATATCATGTTTCAGAACTATTTTGGTTTTCATATGTAAGAGTAAACAGGTTTCATATGAGAAAATCATCATATATTTCTGTTGATGAATTTAATTATGTAGAGGGAATAAAATAGAATACCTGTTAAAAATAAAACATTCTTTAGGCAATTTGAATTTTATTATTGATAATGATTTTACTAATTTGATTCTTAACTATGGCGTTTACAAATATTGTATAATATGTTTAAGAACTCCATTATAGTAAAGCAAATAATAAGGAAGCGGCATTATAAAAATATCAATTAACCTCATTAATCAAAAAGTTCATTAATATAAGAATATAAATGGCACTTCTTACATTAAAGACATGCATGGGTTTGGGGTTTGGGTTTGGGTTTGGGTTTGGGTTTGGGGTTTGGGTTTGGGTTGGG